AGCAACCTTCAGTCTGAGCCTGAGGTGCTTCAACTCTCTCTCCTTTTGATATCTTTTTCGTGTTTCTATGCTTTGATATGCTTAAAGACGTAAATGTGTGTGTGTGTATTTTATAAGCGTTTTGTTTTGTATAAAATGGAAACTAAAACGGAATCGAAACTTCGTTCTGTTTACTGCTGATGAGCCTGTTATTTGTTGAATCGGAGCCTTTTGGTTTTAGTTTTGAAAACCCATTCAGGCTCTCTGTATTGGCTGCTTATAAGTTCAATTTTGCGTATTTGGATCATTTGTGATGGCTGTATCAGCGCCATATAAACTTGACGCAGAGAGGGATCCTGGTTGTCTGTCTATGATTTAATTAGATGAAAAACCATTTCATTTGTGGAGCTCAAGCAGAATGATTATCATTACTTTTTTCTCTCTATTTCTCATATTTTATGGCAATCTATTTCGGGGTTTTGAGGGGTTGTGGATTTAGGGTTTCGGCTGTTTTTAATATAGATGTAACATTTTAAGGTAGTAATTAAGGTCATGAAGTCTTAACCGAGGACTCTGATGGTAGGATGGAAACTTGGGACATGGCAGGACTCAATACTGTGATTGGAGAACTTCTCTTTGTGGAATGTGGATGTATACTTTTATGCTAATATTCGGTTTGCTATTTCATATATACAATCAAATATTTTGAACTGTTTGTCTATGTTCTACTTGTTCTATAGTTTTGAAACGCGTAATGTTCTGCTGTTGTCTGCAGTATAAATTGTTATTGGGAAAAGTTTTTGGTTCATAGTTGTGTCTGATACTGATTACAAATATTTCAGGGATTTTGTTATTTTCATGTTGGTTTGATTGTTTACCTTAAGGTGCTTGATATTAAGTTCATATTTTCTTTTTTAGGCAATGGCTCCCAAACAGCCAAATACTGGCCTCTTTGTGGGATTGAACAAGGGGCACATTGTGACCAAGAAGGAGCTAGCTCCAAGACCCTCTGATCGCAAAGGAGTAAGTTATTTCACCAAGCTTCACTGAGATTGCTTTTTCATATTTATGTTCTGGTCTTTCTATTTCCTATTTAACTCCAGTATTTTTTTTAATCTAATTTTGGAGGTGTATTCTATTTTGTTTCTTCTATTGAGTGTAAGACTGAGTTTTTGTGTGATACTGTTTGAATACGTAGTAGTTTTGTAATTTTTTTGCTTATAATTGTGTTCCTGTCCGTCATTGGATTTGTCTTTGGAACATATGATGTACATTTGGGCATCATAATAATTACAATGTGCTTAATGAGACAGAATTGTTTTTCATATTGCTTTTGCATAAAGTAGCTGGTTATGATACTGTCTCTTCTTATGCTTATCTGGAGTGCAGAAAGCCAGCAAAAGAGTGCAATTTGTTAGGAGTTTGATCAGGGAAGTTGCTGGTTTTGCACCTTATGAGAAGAGGATCACTGAGCTTCTCAAGGTTGGCAAGGACAAGCGTGCTTTGAAGGTAGCGAAAAGAAAGCTGGGCACGCACAAGAGGGCTAAGAGGAAGCGTGAGGAGATGTCTAATGTTCTCCGCAAGATGAGGTACATTTTAGGGATCTAGGATCGTTGCTTGCTTTTGATAATCCAAGCTTTTATGCTGGCTGGAAAAGGCTTCTTATTTTCTTTTGGTGTATTTTGACCGACAGGGCTGCTGGAGGTGGTGAGAAGAAGAAGTGAGTCATGTCGTTGGATGTCTTCGATCTCCTCAATGCTATTTTAGATTCTTAGTTGGAGGGAGACATTTGTTATGTTCTGTTCAGATAGCATCTTTAATTTTAATTTTCTATAAATTGTTATGTTTTATATATGAATTAAATTTTCTGAATCTCAATGGTTCTTAGCTTACAAATTAATCTAATATAAGGGGCACTTGATTTTGTGGTTTAGTGGGAAAAGAGATTTGTTTTTTTTCTCTGCACTTGGGTTTGATTTTTTTTATGCATGTGTCATTTTTGCAATGCTTTATTGGTGTATTTAATGAATTCAGGAATTAGATGTGATGTATGTAAATTGAACCAGATATCCTGAATTATAAAAAAAAATTATAAAAAAGAGAAAAAATAAGCACAACCTTATGTTAGTGGAGCTTTGAAATGATAGAGGGAAATTTTGCATGTGAAATTTGTACCATATAACAAGCTTTGCTAATAATCAAGTAACTAAAATATGTTTTAATTTTTTTTACTAAAATCATTTACTCCCCTGTATTTTGGTTGACTTTAAAATGTAATGTCAAAATACTATATTTTGATATATCTAGATTTAGTATTGTCTTGTATTGATATTTTATAGTTTGAAATATTTCATAATTCTTGAAAAAAATTGATGACACCCTAGCTGTCATTAATTAGCTAATTTTCTGCATTCTCTCGTATATATATGAAACATGTTTTTGTTTATTCTTGCAGAGGTAAAAAAAAAAAAGAAAACTAAATAATTATAATTAAAAATAACAAATTTACAGGAAAAAATTAAAAATTTCATACCTCCATAGACATCATCATGTTAGTAATTATACATAAAATTAAAGGGTGTAGAGAAATTATTCTTTATCCATGTCCATTGCACTATGAATTACAATAATAATCTACAATGTATTTGTTTTTCACATTTTATTTTATTTTTTCATTTTTTTTCACTCACATTGTATTACTTTTTCTTTTTTTTTTCTAAAACTATCTTTGCTAATTTCACTTTTTTTATATTGAACAAGTTAAAAATTTCATATTGTAATTTTTTTTAAATAATATAGATTGCTACGGTGTTTTCCCACATAATTTTTTTATTTTACTTTTTATATTTTCTAAATTTATATTTGTTGATTATATTTTTTTTAATATTGAGCTAATTGAAAATTAGTTTTGTGATTTTTTTTCATTGTTGATTGCTACAATATTTCTTCATATAGTTTTTTTTTGTGTTTTTTATGATTTTCTTCAAAATTATCTTTGTTGATTTTATTTTTTTAATATTGAATTGGTTAGAATTTAACTCTATAATAAAATTTAATCATGTGGAGAAAGCATTATAACTTTCCTTACAATACATTATGAATTGCTACAGTATCTCTCTACATGATTTTTTTTTTCTCATGATTTTTTAAAAATTATCTTTGTCAGATTTTTTTTTTAATATTGAGCTAGATGAAAATTATAATTATAAATTATTACAAATAAGGCTAAATCATTTGGGAAAGCACTGTACCTTCCATCACAAAACACTGTGAATTGTTATAGTGTTTCCAGTATAATTTTTTTCTTTTTTTTATAATTTTTTTAATAGTGAGCTGATTGAGAATTTAGTTTTGTAATTTTTTTTTCTTTAATACACTTTGAATTGCTGCAATGTTTTCCCACATGATTTTTTTTTAAATTATCTTTTTTGATTTTTTTTTTTTTAATATTGAATTGGTTAAGAATTATAATTACAACAACACTAAATCATATGGGGAAAGTATTGTTGTTTTCCTCACAAAACATTGTAAATTGCTATAGTATTTCTCTAAATGGTTTTATTTCATGATTTTTTCTAAAATTATTTTTGTTGATTTTAATTAGAAAAAACACTGTAGTTTTTCTCAAAAAACATTGTCAATGGCCACAACGTTTTTCCTCATAGGTTTTTTTTCTTTCTAGAATTATCTTTATTGATTTTTTTTAATATTAGGATGATAGAGAATTTAGCTTCATAATTGTTTTTTGCTTTTTATTAACAAAAAACTAAATCATGTAGTAAAAGCATTATATCTTTTCTCACAAAATATTGTGGATTATCACAAATCATTTTGTTCAGTCTCTAAGTTTTTTTTATCACAAACACACCTTTTTTTTCCATTATGAAATATTGATTCCATCATATCATCATATCTTTAGTTTCTATTATAGACATATCAGACTAGGCTAAAAATTTTGTAGATATTTGATGATCTTAAAAAAAATAACGAGTTGCGAAAGAGCATTACTTGATAAGTAATTAATTACATGAAGTTTGAAGAAGAAAATTGCATGGAAAGATATTGAAAAAATAAAAGGCAGTTTTGAGTGTAAATACAAGAGGAAAAAATATTATTTATTTATATCGACGGCTAGGATTACTTATATTAGGTTATACGGGTTGAGCGGGTTTTCAAAATCCTAACAAGCACCTTATAAGTGATATCCATTTATTATGTTTTTTGACCCACTATGATTTGTAATATCCATGCTATCCAACATTGATAGGTCGGGTCGAGTCAGATAATGCAAGTATTATAAATAAACTAGTTTTTATGAACATTGTTACCTGAAAAAGGATGCCCAGCTGCTTCCAACATCATTATGAAAAGCAGCATCTGGTCATTAGAAGATGCCTCATGCACCGTCCAAAGAGGGCAAAGCACTCTACATGTTAGTGCATGTTACGCGTACTAGCCACTTTTGGTTTTTAAGTTATATTTTATATTTATTAAATTACCCCAATCAACTTAATTATAACTAAAAATAATATGGAAATACCAAAAAGGCCCTCAATGTCAATTTATTTAATCATTGCAATGTCCTTAAAAACTATTAAAAGACGATTAATTCAACAATGACTAATTGGTCTTGTAAAAAACATATTATCCTCAATAGCCGATTTATTGATTTTTGTTGAATATGATAAGAACTTCGGTATACTATGATTTATTTCTTTTGTGGAACACCGAGTTCGTTAGGGTTTTTGTTAATTTAGGTGATCCCTTTAATCATAAAGGGATGAAAGATTGGATAATTTGCATAACCGATGAAGCCAGTTCCGTCTGATTATTCCCAAAATGCTGTTTTTTTCGATCGGCAAGTTTACAACCATGTTCCCAGCTCCGACAATAAACTGGTCTGGTGCGTTAAGATACGCGCCAGCAAGTCCTAGAAAACAGCAGAATAGATGGAGACAATTGCTGGTCCCATGGAAAATAAACGGTATGAACAGCGATCGCCATTGCAAGCAGATGCCAAATGATAAAATGTAGGAAACCTAACCTTTTGGAGCTCTCTTATTCTGGCATCATGCATTGAATAATCAATGTCCGAGGAAGAAAGATACATCATAAGAGACCTAGCAGCCTATCCCATGATTTATACATTCAATCCTAACTACAAAATTACTGCAAATATCCGCAATATGCACTACAAAAAAACCGCTAGAAATTAATTACACGATGAAACTGGGGTTATTCACTTGTACATAACATGATAATATGACATCACTCCAGCTTCACCAACTCAAAATCACAAGAGAATTTCTTCTTATGAACCTGCACAGCTTCTGAGATGATAAAGTGCGTCCAATTATCAACATATTTTCGAAGTGATCAACCCAACAGCTTCAGTAATTCAGGAATAAGAGAATTTGTTTCTGACAAACTTGCACAACGACTTATTAATCAAGTGTCACTCCAAGTATCATCATCTTCCCCATCATCACTCGCAACAGCCTGGCATGTTTTTCAGTTTTAATTCGTAGATGTTGACCAGAACAAGAGAAACAAATTTAACCAGGAGGAGGATGAAAAGAAAGAGAGAAAAATTGATTACCTGGCGGATTGCATTTGCTTTCTCCAAAATAGCACTGACTTTGTTGCTCGCAGGGGGGCCCGAGAAGAGAGTAGGCTTTGCTGTTGCGGTGCGTCTCAGAGTGAATGACTGCAGTGGCACAACAAAGAATAAAGGGAAAACTCGCGAGTGCTAGAACTCATAATTTTCTCATCACACAGCAACTAGTTAGTACATAACCCGGTGAAACTCAATAAAGCCTTTACCTTTTGTTTCCATCACAACTATCAATCTCCTACTCATCTTGGAACATCTCTTCTTTTCTGGTTAACAGTGGTGATATTAAATGGTATTTATTACATTTGGTACCGAGCTTGTATGGTGGGGGAGAACTTGAAGTTGAATGTGGGTAGAAATTTTCATGCTACACTGAAATGGATGGATTTGAGATGACTCTGAAGAAATGTTAGGTGAACAATACAGGTGATGAGCTAGAAAAGTGCTTTTGAATGTTGGTAGTGAGAAAGGTTGTTTGATCCTAGTTTCTCATTAGCAGAATCCATTTTGCAATTTATGAGAATGTTATAGAGATAAGAAATTATGGATCAGCAGTTGGGAGGAGTAAGCTAAATAAATATACTGTCATCATATCATAGCTTATAGGTGCCAAGTTTCATTCAGTTTTATCTCCCAGAACACAATTATACATCCTGACATTTTGGTTCTTAACATGCACAAAGGTCATCTAAGAATTGACAGATGCAGTCCTTCAGTTGTCATACAAGTGGATCATTAACAATGTGCAAGATTTGTCAAGTTGAGATTCAATGCTCATATAATGCAGGTAGCCAGCCATACTGTTTTTTGAAAATATATTGAAGCATCAGTAACTAATCTCTCTTTTTTTCAGCCTTGTCATTTCAATTTCATCTCACATGCTATAATCAATTCTCAACGCTTGGATTACAGGAGCAGCCAAACAACAGCGAAGGAAAAAAAGAGGCTAAACTCACTTTGGTTCTGATTTGATGCAAGATATCTTCCTTTTCATCTATATCCTTGCCATTTGCAGATTGATTAGCTTCTTTCTGGTCCTGTTGCTGCAGACACAGAATCCCATAGCAAAGATTTAGTTCATGTTCTACGTTGTGATAAAATGAAATAGATTGAAGCCAGCAAATAGATATACTATTGTATGAATGTCATTATACCTTGCTTTTAGGTTTAAATGCAATAGTATCCCCTTTCATTTTCTGTTCAACAGCTGGGGCAGGCTTAGGTTGCTGGGGCACAGTAGATTCTGAAGGTTTTATATCAAATGCATGTTCATGAGCTTTGGATAGAGAATGTTGTTTGCCTTCTGATATATCAGAGTGGGGCTTTGAAACTCTCCATTGAACTGGAGGAAGAGGTGGTGGCAATGGAGTGGAATTGTTAAGATGCTCCAACTCTATTTGATTTGTTTGAACTAAATTATCCTTTGTTTTTCCATTCACTACAGGGTTCATGGCATCAAAACATGGCAGATCCAATGAAGCAGATAGATACGGATCTGCACCATTCTCAGTATACATGCCTGGAAGTCCCCTGTCAACGCAAATACCATTATTGCCAGCTTCCCCAGGCTGCGGTGAGCTTGGAAAAGATTCACCTGGAAATATTCTGCGTGAAGCATCATGCAGCTCATGGTCCTTGCTTTCAGGAGACTCGTCAGATTCCCATTGCTCAGAATGTGATTCAGAGTCATGGTCAAGACAATCATCAGACATATAAGGAGATGATCTACAGAACGTATCATCATCAGATTCAGAACCCACATGGCGCGGTGGAATAGGAGTCTCCGGAATCAATTGAAATGATGGAAACATGTCTCTAATGCTTTCATTACCATGGTTCCCATCAGGAAACTTCAGTTTCAGTTTAGAATCCTCAAAGCCATCAATAGGGTGGAAAGATATTTTCATATGTTCCAATGGTGGTGAAGACATAAGTGAATCAATACAATATTTACTTCCAAACTGCTCATTGTATGCTTTCTCTGGAGTTGCTTGATGTGTAACTTCATTTTGCCAGCTCTGCTGCTCTAATGTCCTAGTTCTCAGTAACCTAGTTGGTTCACATTCACCATCATGGACCAGTGACATCTTTCCACTAAAACCATTAACAAGTAACCTATGTCCAAATCCATGCCTTTGTGATGAATTTTCATCATTATCTTGACTGGACTCAATATACGTCACTTTGGAGTCTGAATCATGCTGCGACTCATTTCCTGGTGTTACTGCAGTGGTAATTTTCTGTCCATCCTCATAGCTATGACTATATTTATTTCCATGATGAAAATCACCAGGTTTTTCTACTTTGGTCCCTTGATCCTCCTGCAAGGATGAGGAGCCTTTGGAACTTGGAACCCGTTCCATGTTTCCTGCATCCTTGATCAATCTTCCAGGTGCTCCTCCATCATTGCTTGACATGGAAGTGTGATTTGGAGGCAGCCCTGCCTCACCTTCACTTCTGGTCACATAATCTGGACTCATGGCATTTGATACAGCAAAATCTGGAGGCTTTGAAGGCTCAAGTCCTAAAAGGCCACCATTTGTCCAGAATGTCGTAGAAAGAACACTGGAAAAATCAGCCTGGGATTCTTGAGACCTGCTGGAACTTCTTATGGATTTATTGCTCAATGGTTCTTGTACATCTAAAATTGAAGTTGCAGAGACAGAAGATGATGGATCACTAACAAATTCTACTTTTGAATTATCTATGGGATCAGCACTTGTAGAAAATTTGATGCCTGATGAACTGTCTAACTTGGAAGAGTTTTCAGAAATATGATATTCCTGTTCACGGGCAAAACTCTTTGAGGAAACTGAGTTGGGTGATTCACAGGGAATGTTTTCATTTGAGGAAGCGGATAAGGTACGGGATTCATATTCAGATGGATGATGGTCGGAAATATGTGCTGTTACCTTGTGTATTGTCTCCTCTACTTCATTGTCAATATTGGAGGAAAATTGCTCAACTTCATGTTTTGTTTGGCAATCACTATCATTTTCAGATTCCGACTCAATGGTATTCAATGCATCCATGAAATCATCTGGTTCGCTTTCAACCTCATTGAGCTGGCTGTTACTAGAGCTTGATTTTGGAGCATTTGCATAATCAAGAACAATATTTTGAGGAATAGGATTTTTGAGATTGGCAGTCAATCCATCCTGTGTATCTAGGTCAGACTCTGCAGCATGCATTTCTGAAACTTCATCGCCATGTTGACCTCTAGACTCTACTATTTCTGCCTTTTCATCCCAAGTAACACAGGAAGAACTAAGGGCAGCAATCTGCTCTGGTGAAGAAGTGTGATGAAAATTGTTATCTGCAATGTTGGGTTGTCCGTCGGGAAAAACTGAACCACGAACATCATTGCGCTTCATGAAACTTGAAGAGAATTCATTCAGTCCATCTTCTTCAGCTCGCACTGGGGAATTTAGTTGGAACACACATTCAACATACCCTGAACCAGTTCTTGAATCAAAAGAATTTGAAGGATCACCCGCGTCATATTTTAATGTCATGTCAGTTGTAGAGGCCATATGAGAAGGAGTGGTCTGTCCATTAATAGTTGGAGTAGTAAACTGCATTCTGCAGAGCCAAATACCATGCACACATTAATTTCATCAAACTGCACATGGCAGCACTAGCTCCCTTTGTAAAGATGCAATACCTGCCACTATGATTTGACATTGATGCATGATTGGCTGAGTCTCTGTTCCTTTGTGATGAACGTTTTTTCTGTCCATTTTGACATTAATCAGTAAAATTAGAGGGTGGAAAAATAGTGCTTGGGCAAGTATTTAAATTAAGTATACGCTGCAAGAGGAGTAAATAAATTAAGATCTCACTGAATAATGAGCAAGCATGCTTGCACTTCAAATAGAAAAGTTTCGAGGAACGTGTGACTGACTATATGTGGTGGAGAAGTTTAAACAGTTTCCCCGTTGCTTGTGATAATAGAGAAAACTAGTTGACTAAATAAAATCAAGGCTATATCACAAGATCAATAGAAAGAAGCACTTCTCACAATAGCTGAAATTTGTTACAGAAGTGAAATACCTTGGTTTCCCTAGCTCTCTTATCTTTTGGAACTTTCACAGCATCTGGTTCAGTGGCATTACTAGATGCTCTCCTAAAGAAGGTCGGATCTGAATATCTCTTTAAACAAGACCCTGGCCCACCAGTGTCAAATCTGAATGTGAAACCAAAAGGATTTAGTATCTAGGATCAAACTGCTTCATCATTCAAACAAACCAATCAATTCGCTCAGGAGAGCGAGGAGAGAGGAATAAGGAATGAGCATACTTGTCGAGCAAGTGCAAACGTGGAGGATCACGACATTCTTCATAGGAATCCATAATGAATCGTGGCAGGTCATTGTAGATTAAATGATTTTGTTCATTTTGAATACAAGGGTGCCACTCAGAACCTGCAAGGTTGATGCTTTTTGTCAGCATTTGAATAACTAGATATTGATGCAAAAATAACAGCAAAAGAAACTTGATTGCGGCTTATGGGGTGAAGTAAGCTACCAAAAACAACTTGAGCATCAACAAAAGAATGAAGGGCAATGGAGCTTTTCTAACATCTACAAGTTTTTCATATGCTCTGAAAACTTATGCCAATAGATACACATATTTATTGAATTCCAAAGTACCAGAAACCATCTAAGTTTTCTGGACAGATAATGATGCAAACTGATGATTAGCTTCCAAACTCTAATTGTCAAGGTTGTAACTGCTTTGCTAAGGTGGTAGTGAACAGTGAAAAAAGATATGATAGCCGAACAGGCTTCAGCCAAGACAAAGCCAGAGTATACTAGATTGATTCAAACCAGAAAGTCACGGGAGAGGCTAAATAAAAATAGAGCATGGCTTTTATATCAGGTAACGAGCCATACCTGCTGTGTACGCAAAATGTATATGACTTGTTTGGGAAAGCACCACCTTTTCAGGAGGAGGGAGCGCAGCTTCAATGTTTTGCACACGAACCATCAATTTATGACTTCTAGAAGCTGTAGACATCACTTGCTCTTGTAAGCCATGGAAAACCTCTGCTGCAAATCTAGAAGCAGGTCAAATATGCTGTTTCTATCAATAACTTCAGATAGTCAACAATGCAAACCAATAATCTAATAAATGAGAAAACTATATTAATGATCAACCATTTATTTGAGATTTTGTAGCCAAGATTAAATCAACCCTCTCAGTCAATCTGTGGAATCCTTTATCTATGACAATATAGTGCTTGATATAAACACATAAAAGCCATTAGAACAAGGATCTAACTGGGAAGACAATTGTGCTCCTTGGGATGAAAAATACTCACAGGAAAACAAACCTAAAATCGTACTTGCACTACGGATATGCGACAGCCAAATAGCCTACAGCAGTCCCTTTCGCGTGTGAAAAAGTATTATGAATATCCAATGTTAAGGCGATCGATATATAATGTAATTTTAACAAAAAAAAAAAACTCCATCCGGCAGCCATAATAGATTAAGAATCACTAAATGATTGCTCATTTCATTAAATTAAGAATGAAACCTCCAAAGCAATTAAGCAGGCCAATCACCAATTCTTCATTGTTTGGTTGAATTTAATAGTACAGTTACCTGTTTTAAGAACATATTACTCAGATATCTTTTTAAGAACGAAAAGCAGCAACTGAACAAAAAGACAAAAAAAGGTACAAACTCGGCAAGATCGCCTAGTTGACGCAAGATCCCAACCAAAGCAGCAGCAGCAACAGCATCAAGCACGGCTTTTGGATCTTCTTCGCGGTTTGCTTCTCTGCACAGCTCACCCTGTCCTAACCTCAACTCATTTCTCACTTCAAACCGAACCAAAGGCATTCTTCTTCTTATTATTATTAGTATTATTCTTGTTTTCTCCTCTCACTCACTCAAATTAAAGATTCTCCTCCACTACTAACTGATACAGCAGCAGTATTAGTATTGGTAGTTATGTGTTCAGATTGAATGAATGAATGAATGCATGAAGGAAGGAAGGAAGGAAGGGGTGGGTGAGGAAGAAAGGAGCAGCTTAACTGCCAGAGATGAACAAACACACACTGGCCTTCTATGTTAATTTATTTTAATTTTCAGAGCTAAGCTAAAACGATTGGGGAGAGAGGGGGAGACAGGGAGAGACGAACAGGGAGGGGTAGAGGGATTACATTACATTGCCACCTCTACAAGCCATTCGTTTTCTTACTCAAAACCAAGACAAACAAATATCATTTTCTGTACAGGGAGACTGTACGTCCAAATACTGGATTGGCCTTCGTTTTTGTATTTATTGACGTGGCTGTCCTCGGTAAATGTGCGTGTGAGAGAGGACTACTTCTTATGCTTCTCGACTTTCCGAGGGGAGGGGCGTTAGACAACGTGGCTTCCATTAATTCTTTGGATTTTTCCTTTATTTTTTTTTGGTTAAATAACAAAGGGTTATTTTCTCGAAAAAGGGTTAAAATGGTAATTTGAAGGGGTAAATATTTGAATATACAACTACATGATGGGTACCCCTTGTTGTTATGGTGTCTGGATTACAAAATTAAAGTGAGGTGTCGCTGTCCCTCCATAAATTTCATTTCCCATGTGTTTGAAATTGCATTCTGTATTTTTAAAAAAATTAAATTTTTTATTATTTTCAGATAATTTTAATTCACTAATATTAAAAATAATTTTTTTAAATAAAAAATATTTTTTTAATATATTTTTAAATAAAAAATACTTTAAATAATAACACTACCACACAAAAAAAGTGTGTTTCACTCAAGATTTGCTAAAACAAATGCTGACAATGATAGAAAAACTGAAGAAGGGCAATATCAGAGTTATTGACACTTTAACAGGCTTGGAGTGAAACAGAAATCTTCCCAGAGAGTAGGGTAGAAGAGGGCAGACGGAATTTATGGAGAGAAAGCGATATTTCTATTATGTACTTCAATTCTGTAATCAAGTCACCATAAAAATGTGGGTCCTCACTTGCTCACTTTGAGCTGTTTGTTTTTATAGTTACAACCATATTTTTTATTTTAAAAAAGAATTGATTGAATTTAAATTTTTTTAGCTTTTTAATTATTTTATTTTATTGATATTAAAAATAATTTTTTAATTTTTATTTTAAAAAATAACAACTTTAATGCTACCTGTCACTATCTTATTTGATCGTTGTCACCATCTTATTTGGTTAATAATTGTCAATGCTTGTTTCGTTTTGGATCTAGCTTCCGGTAACATTCTATTCTCTGGATATAACCGGTCAGCATGCTTATGTATTGTTAGGGAATAATTTTCAAAATCTTTTTTATTTAGTTTTGTGATAATTAAAATAAATATTTATAACAAAAAAAAATATTTAAATTCAAAAAAATATTTTTTATTAGATAAAATCTTATTTTTCTTATTCATGTATTTTTATTAATTGTATGGTGGTTCATATATAATAATTCACAAAGTGATTATTAATAGTAACATAAAAGCTAAAATGTTAAGGGAAGATAATGGCGCAATTGGATTTTTTTAAATAATTTTATCTATAGTGTATTTTATTTTAAAATAATTAAAAAAAAACATCATTTAAAAAAAAATAAAGGGTTATTTAAAAACAATTCACTTGGCGAGGCCTAAAAAGAGAGGCTTGTATGCCTACCTTAAACTAAAAGAGCCCAAGCATGCTTTGCTTCTTCTTTTTTTCCCTTAAAAATAATAAAAAAAGATTTGCATCCACTAAAATTGATTTTGATAGGATAGATGACATCTCATCTATTAGTGTATTCTTCAACTATCCAAGTTTAGGGAGCACCAAAACTCGTTTCTAAACTTGTTCTCACTTAAATATCGTATAAACCTTAATACATTCATTTATAACTCCTTAACATGCTCTAATCGATTTAAAAAATTAAAACAAATCGAATAAAAAAATTATTTTGAGCCACAATATATCTTTTATTGGCAAGATTCAAGTTCAAATTACCTCCATGAAACTCTTATTTATGATATGAAGTCATCTACCCTAAAATTGTCCTTTTGTGGCTTTAATGCGGTGGTTTGGAGCCTTTATCTCACCTTCCTATTTTTTAAAAACTTTTCTTTTTCTTCTCTTAACTATCAAGAATCGAAACATGAAACAAATAAGATTTAAAATTAAAATTAAAAATCTTAAAATCATAAGGATAAACTCAAGGGACTAGACTAAAGTTTTTTACATGAAAATGAAAATTTCTTTATTTGTTTTTGTTTATTTTGGTCCTTATTATTTGTGTAAACCCCAAGAAAAATTAAGAATAATATCATATAAATTATGGTGTAATAAAATGAAATAAAAAAATAAATAAAATAAATGGAGAAAATTAGTTTAAAAAAGGGAGAAATTTATGGTCGAATATGTATATCTTTCTAGAATAAAAAAATGATTTAGTTATTTTAAGAAATAACTAAATCAATTTAATAAAATGGATAAACTATTTCTCAAAACGGCTAAATCATTTTAACTATTGTCCCTATTAACACCTGATAGTGCAACCAAGAGAAAAAAAAATAGTGTTTTCTCTTCTTTTTCTTTCCTATCACTCTGAGGGGTTAGAGAAATGATGACTAAATATGAAAAGAGAGAGAGAGATTCACACTAGAAATTAAAAAAGATCAAAGAAAAAGTTTTGAAGAGATTTGAAGAAGAAGAAGAAGAAAGGTGAAGGAAACTAAGGTTATTCTTGTATTTTACACTTGAATTAACATCTAATTAAGGTAACAAACTCATTTCAAATGATCAATTTGATTGATTTTGTGATATGTGAAATATTGGGCATGCTAGTGTGGTAGGAATCTTGAGTTATGAGTTTTGGCTAGTTAACTTTTTGTTTTTATGATTATTTTTATGTTTGTTAACATGAAAAATGGATGGGTATTAATCCACCTGAAAAAATGGATGGGTAACAAAAATGAATTGTAATAAAATTTAGGGGAATTGCAAATGAATGGTGAATTGAATCAATTGGATTACATTAGCTTGAGATAAGTATTAAATTATAAAGAAGTAATAAAAAAAAACATGGTGTCTTTAAGGGTATAGAGGGCTGAACAAGAAAGAATGAGTTAGCATATAATAAAATTTTATCTGCTTAAGAAAATTACGAGAGATTAATGTATAGTATAATGTGAGAAATGAATTTTTAAATGAATTTAGTTATATTATATAAAATGAGTAAAATTTGTATATGGCAGTGAATTAAAATGTTAAAAGAAGTTATCACATTTAGAGGAAAAAATTATTGTGAAGGGCTTAATTTCTCATGTAAAGGAAGAATCTTTTAAAAAAATTAAAAATAAATCATTGTATAAATTAGGGAGCAATATTCATGAGGATTAAGTTAAAAATGACTAAAGTGGCAAATTCTAGAAACTATCTAAAAAACTATCTGGAAACTAAAGAGTTAAGCGATGGAGGTTATGAGAGCATAATCTTCAACATGAGTAGTAAATAGAGGTCATGCATTGTTTCTACTTGAATCATGTGCCGTGGGTTTCCAAGTTCTTCATTGAACCCGAATTCACATTCTAGGCAAGTTACTAAGTTTTGTTTCAAACCCGAACGAAATGCTTGCATTTATAACACCAATATGACAACGTAGTTGGGGATGACATCAAGTTGAACAAAATTTTTAGGTTTAATTCAAAAGATTGAAGCTTTTTGGTGATAAAAATAAAGATGGCTACTATAGTGGTCAACAACGAAAATTGGAGGGAAAGATAAAGATTGTGAGGTTGGTGGTTGGATTGTGTAATTTTTGCTCTTCATATTAAAATTGTTCTCAAGCATACTTTTAGTTTTATTTGTTTAAATCAAAAGGATTACCAAGTGAAGGGGGGGAAATGGTGTGATTTAGCCTTGGTGGTTGGATTGTGTAATTTTTGCTCTTCATATTAAAATTGTTCTCAAGCATACTTTTAGTTTTATTTGTTTAAATCAAAAGGATTACCAAGTGAAGGGGGGAAAATGGTGTGATTTAGCCACTATAATGTCCAAAACTTTTTATGAAGGGGAAGAAAAGATGGGAGAGAAAAGATTTAGTGGCTATTTTTTTAAAAAAATTGATGGAAAAATTGTAATATTTATTATAAAGACTCTTTTAATTAATTGAAATATAATAATAATCTTGTAAATAATATTATATTTTTTATGAACCTTTTTTTTTAGCGTGCCAATGTAAGGATGTAAAGTGTTGCAAATTATAAATTCCAAGATGTAAAATGTGATTTTCTAAAGAAAAAAGTTAAAGTGAAAAAATAAATAAACTAAAAGAGTTTTTTTTTTTTTGCAATTATCTCAATATAATTAAATAATCACAAGTAAGCAATCATCTCAATATAATTAAATAATCACAAGTAAATATATTAAAATTATATTATTTGTTAGCCAATCAATAATTTACTATATCATAAATTAAATATCATATAATATAGGAAAGAAATTAAATACTATGATCATAGTACTTTCTATATGTTTAGAGAATTTTTGAATATCTCATTGCTATTTTACAATCGTTGAAAACATAACAAAATAATATAGATAATTTTTAAAAGAATCTAATTAATTTTAAAAATTTAAACTGAAAATATTTTAAAATATAATTTATATTATTCTTTATTATACTTTTTTAAAAACTCATTATTATTTTGTGCTTGATTAATTAATTTTGATTAGGAAAAACAAGGTTGTAAAATTTAAATTTGTGATTTTTAAGTATCAAAAAAGTTATTAAGTGCAGTATTATAATATATATTATTCTAGAAAAAATATTGTAAATCTTGTGAGGGTTGAATATGAAGGATAACCATAATTAAGTCCGCCCACGCTAAGATGATTAGCAAAAGGTCATTTACTTGTATCTTGCTTTGCTCCTTTCTCTTCCATGTAAATTCACACTTTAGATTCCACCATTTCCCTGTCATCAATCATCAATCGACAACGAAACATAAGCAACAAATTAAAACCATTTTTTTTTTTTTACAGAAAACCATCTTCTAGAAAAGATCTTCTCATTTTCTTTCCTTTGAAGCCTAGAAAAACAAGGCTTGATCTTCAAAATTATCCAATTTTTATTTCTTTTACTTTGAATGATATAAGAAGACCAAAACCCTAACAAAAATTGTATATGATATTTGTTAAATGTGGTTGTGATTGTTTTTTAAAGTATTTTTTATATTAAAATATATTAAAATAATATTTTTTATTTTTTAAAATT